TGCTGAAATGAAAGAGTTGAAGGCTCAACTACAAGAACTACTCGATAAAGGATTCATACGTCCGAGTGTTTCCCCTTGGGGAGCACCCGTCCTGTTTGTCAAAAAGAAAGACGGCTCGATGAGACTCTGCATCGATTACCGTCAATTGAACAAAGTCACAATCAAAAATCGATATCCTTTACCTCGTATCGATGACTTATTTGATCAGCTTAGAGGATCTACTATATTCTCTAATATTGACTTACGGTCAGGATACCATCAAATCCCTGTAAAGAAAGAGGACATCCCAAAGACCGCGTTCCGTACTCGTTATGGTCATTATGAGTTTACGGTAATGCCCTTTGGTTTGACCAATGCTCCAGCAGTATTCATGGATCTCATGAATAGTGTATTCCGACCTTATCTTGATCAATTCGTGGTTGTATTCATCAATGATATTCTTGTCTATTCGAAGAATCGAGAAGACCATGCGAAACATTTGGAGATAGTACTCAGCGTACTACGAGAACATAAACTATATGCCAAACTGTCAAAGTGTGAATTTTGGCTTGATGAAGTTACGTTTTTGGGACATGTGATTTCTCAACAAGGTGTTAAGGTAGACCCTAGTAAAATATCTGCCATCACCGAGTGGAAGGTTCCAAGGAATGTTCGTGAAGTGAGAAGCTTTCTTGGATTAGCTGGATACTATCGACGATTCGTTTAAGGCTTTTCCTCGATCGCAACTCCACTTAACAAACTTCTGAGAAAAGATGTGAAATTTGTATCGACCGATGCATGTCAGCAAAGCTTTGAGAAACTAAAGAAATGTCTGACAGAAGCACCTGTGCTGACCCAACCAGTACCAGGTGTAGACTACACAATCTTTAGTGACGCATCTCATAATGGCTTGGGATGTGTACTCATGCAAGATGGAAAAGTCGTAGCATACGCATCAAGACAGTTGAAACCTCACGAATGTAACTATCCTACTCACGATCTTGAGTTAGCAGCAGTTGTATTTGCTCTGAAAATATGGCGTCATTATCTCTTTGGAGAGACGACAAAAGTCTAAAATACCTGCTAACTCAAAAAGAATTGAATCTGAGACAGAGAAGATGGTTGGAATTGATCAAAGACTACGACTGTTACATTGACTATCACCCTGGCAAGGCTAACGTAGTTGCTGACGCATTGAGCCGAAAGATGATAGCCGAACTCCGAGTTCAACCTACTCTTGAGAACGAAATTCATGCTGCACAAAAACGTGATGATTACTGTTTGAAGACTTGTGAACTTGTCTCTAAGGGGGAGAGACAAGATTTCACTGTAAATGATGGAATTTTATTCTACCAGAATCGCTTGGTAGTTCCTAGTGGCGAAGTGAGGGAACGTTTAATGCGTGAATCTCACGAAACCACATATACCATGCATCCTGGAAGTAATAAAATGTTCCAATATCTGAAGAAGACTTATTGGTGGCCCACAATGAAACGGGAAATTTCTAAATTCACTACACGATGTCTGACATGTCAACAAGTCAAGGCTGAACACCAAGTGCCAATTGGGTTGTTACTTCCACCTACTATCCCTGAATGAAAATGGGAACGAATTACGATAGACTTCGTGATCGGACTTCCATTACCAGCCAAGAAGAATGACGTTGTTTGGGTAATAATTGACCGATTAACCAAGTCATCTCATTTTATCCCAATTCGACGAGATATGTCTTTGAATAAATTGGCAGAATTGTACATCCGTGAGATTGTAAGATTACATGGTGTACCTTTTTCTATCATTTCTGATCGTGACCCGCGATTCACGTCGCAATTCTGGAAGAGTTTGTAGAAAGCCTTAGGTACTAAACTTAACTTTAGTACGACATTTCATCCTCAAACTGACGGACAATCTGAAAGGACAATTCAAATTCTTGAAGATATGATGAGAGCATGTGTAATTGATTTTGGAAGCAACTGGGAACAATACTTACCGCTAATGGAGTTCGCGTATAACAACAGTTATCAAGAGAGTATCCAAATGGCCCCGTACGAAGCCTTGTATGGGAGACACTGTAGAACCCCAGTATGCTGGACAGAATTAAGCGAGCAAAAGCTTGAAGGACCTGATCTCGTCTGCGAAACTGAAGAGAAGGTGTTGGAGTTGGTGCTCTTATGGCCAACTGCTGTTGTAATATCATAGATATGTTCTATCATGTAAAGGGAGATGCATTAAGTTTAGAAAGATCTCATGCTAATATAAACTCTTAATTGCATTCCTAGAATTATATTATAAGATGTTTATCAGAATGAGTCTTCTGATGTTGAGACTGACATCTTGTCACTTAGTATAATTCTAAACGGTCTATAGTCAAAGCATTAACGAGAGCGGGATACCGTTAGTGCGCGTGAGACTAGTGAGAGTTAGATGTTTGACCTAGTCTCTTGGTCAATGACGGAGTGTTCGCATCTACTCTCGGGCAGATATTATCGTTAATAATAGGATGCCAGACCTGACCCACCTTAAGGGCATTGCCTAGACTTTTAGTCTATGCTCTAAGTGTCCTTAATGCGACTATTGGTATAACGATCCTCAGACTTGAAGTATTACGTTCTTCGAATGCGTGAACCCGCATGCTTTGATTCATTGTCCTAAGCCGTATGAAATAAGGATGGTACACAGGCTTTTTATTGGGCATGCCGCTGCACGTATTCAAAGACGTAGATTACGTACAAAGAATTTGTCACTCCTACTTAAGCAGAATAATGCCTTGTGGTGGCCCACTAATAAGTATGACTGAGGAAATGCATGGCCATGCCGAGATGAATTTAGACATCTGTTCTTGTAACACCCTAATCTGTCCAGGTCTGCAGCCCCTTTCAGATTAAAGTATTAACTTGGTAATTGTAAAAATTTAAAACATTTCAAACACTTTTATTTATCACAATAATATTTTTCATAATATATACAGTACGGAGTTTTCAATATTGCGGAAGCTTAATAATCATAATCACAAACATAATTTATTTATGTTCTTTAATTCAAAACCATCACATCCATTCCGACAATCTCGCCTCCGTCTGCCTCCAGGATCACGTCACTTCATTAACCTGCGTGTAGCAAATAAAACATACTACACGCTCAGCGTTGAAGCTGAGTAAGCATATCTAATGCATCGAACATCCATATAAATTGAATCTAAATTCATAATCAAATCATTTGATATCATGCACATAATGTTCAGTTCAGATAATCAATAATTATTAAAAATTATTCATCATGCATTATTCAACATTTATATTCACATTCAATGTTCATCAGTCATTCATAATAATTGCAATATTCAATTCAATATTCATCATTCAATATTTACTCATATTCAATATTCAATATTCAANCCTTAAACTATTCTTAGTCTAAGGCCAATCACTTTAATATTTGTCAACCCTTAAACGAATTCTAGTTTAAATAATTAAACTATATTCCAGTATAAAATATTCCTAAATAATCCTTAAGCTAGGCCTAGTTTAAGATAAAAGGGTTTTGAAAATCTTAAACTTACCTTCACTTAAGGCCAACCAAAAACCGACAGCGTAGTGTTCACTGTTGGGTGGGTGGTACCCCCAAACGAGTAGGTACTCAAGTTTGGTTCTTGGATCCCGTACGTACGTTTTAACCCTAGCCACCGGGGTTCATACCCGCAAGGCCTAACTTAAATAGGTATATCTTAGAGGTCTTCTAGATACCTTTCAAATCAACATTAATATGGGTATATCTTAGAGGTCTTCTAGATAACCTTAACAATACCTTTTATTTTCACAATCATCAATATATTCATTATGATTTAATCATTCACAATTATCATTTTTAATCAGAATATTCATCAAGATTCAATCATCATAATAATCAATCAATAATCATTACCATAATCATTAAATCAACATAATATTCAATAACAATTAGCAGCCCAGCTTCGGGTGTTAACACCCTAACTTACCTTCATGCATCACATAACATTTTTATTTGTTAAAAACATCATTTTTATTATTGTAAATCATTTTTCCAATGATCATAATCAATTGGTGGATTTTAGAGTATATATTTTTCGAATATTTTCGGAACAGGATCTGGACTTAAGAAAAATCGATTTTTATTTTTAAAAATAATCAATTAATACCTAAAAATCGATTTTTATATTTAAAATAATCCATTAATAGGTAAAAATAGATTTTTATATTTTAAATAATCAATTAATTGCTAAAAATCGATTTTTATATTTTAAATAATCAATTAATTGCTAAAAATCGATTTTTATATTTTAAATAATCCATTAATTACTAAAAATCGATTTTTATATTTTAAATAATCAATTAATTGCTAAAAATCGATTTTTATATTTTAAATAATAAATTAATTGCTAAAAATCGATTTTTATATTTTAAATAATCAATTAATTACTAAAAATCGATTTTTATATTTTAAATAATCAATTAATTACTAAAAATCGATTTTTATATTTAAAATAATTAATTAATACTTAAATATCGATTTTTATGATTAAAATAATCGATTATTATTATTTTTAAATATACTGACTATCTGAACAAATTTTTAGTCGATTATTAGGAAGGAAATAATCGATTTTCGGCCATTCTTCATCATCTTCTTCCTCTGTTCAATTTTTTAACATTATCATTTTTAATTACCAAACTTGAATTAAATTATATAGGAATGTTCCCCAATGTTCACAGATCATTTTAGAGTCATTAATTTGTAGTTTTAACAACAATTTCTTGGTTTATGATTCTTGGTTCTTCAAACATGTCAAACATAAAACTCAACCAAACGACCGTTTATGAACATAAAAACGATCTATACGAACATTCTAATCACTAGATTTATCTACGGGCTTACCTCGAAGCTTAATGGAGGTTTTGAAGATTTTCCGGCAAAACTTCCGGCGAGAATTGTAGCTATCTCCGGCGACCTCACACCAATACGACAGCACCACTGCGTTCTCCTCACTCCGAGCAACAGAATAGACAGAAAGTTTGTAAGAAATGGTGAGGAATTGAAGGAATGGAGATGGTTCTTAAATAGGAAAATGGTGAAGGATGCTGCCAAGGGTGATGTTTGGTTTCCTGTTCGGGCGGCTAGTGGAGCGGGCTGCGATATTTCTTCGATTCCAAACGCAAGTCCCTGATTGGGACTAATTTGGTCCCAGTCGGGGAACACTTTTTGGTCCAACTTTCTCCGAATTGAAATCCGATTGCACCGTTGCGATTAGACAGTTAAACTCTATCTAACGATATAATTTTTATATTTATTCGTTATACTTTTTCCGACATCATATTTTTGGGTGGTTGACTTTGACAGAGTCAAAATTGGTTTAATTGACCTTTATTCAAAAAGGTTCACACATTTAATTCATATTATTTATTTCCATGATTTATTTCAATAAATCATTTCAAAGTTCACATTATAAACAATTTCTTCATTTATTCTTAATTTGGGTCTGTACTCAGGTTCCCAATCAAGATTACACAATAAATCAACATGTTGGATTTATCTCTATGAGATTTATCCCAATTATGTTTATTGGATATCAATATATATTTTATTTCAGCCCAAAGCCCAACAATAATTTATTTTAATCAAAACAAATTTTGTTTAATTGAATATTTAATTCAATAAATTTTAGGGTATATTTTGGGGCGTTACAGTTCTCATATGTCAGACTTGTTAATCAGTAAATAACTTAATGGCTACAATTTGGATATTTTATATCCCTTGCACTAAGTTAAGACATTGGGACAAAAGGATCTACGTTATACAAAGTCTTAGTCGTAGAAAGGTTTTGACGGAGCAAACGTCTGAACTTATAATGTGGGGTAATAATGTGTTGCTAGATACCGCTTATTACTTATAGTATTGGTGTAGAGTCAATACTGTGGCCAGTTTTATAAATGCCTATATGGGTCACACACTTTGAACAATTTAAAGAGTAGGATTATAAGAAGGGATAATATTTAATTTGTATATTGTAAAATAGTAAAGTAAAATGTTTAATATAATACATATATATATGTATATACATATACTTTTGTACACGGCACACACAAAATATGTATAAGTATACATATATATAATGTGCGTGGGTACATAGATATATATATATATATATATATATATATATATATAATATACTTGATAACGTGTACATTTATATGTATATATTAGATTATATATTATATTGTGTACATTTTATTTTGGAGTGTCATTTTAATTATGAAAATAATTATTTTGACAAAACCTATTTTAAAGTATATTTTATATACTTGTTTTAAAATGTTTTGGGTATTTTATTTTATATCATAAAAATTATTGATGTCAAATAAAATACACTTTGAACATTTGAGAGGAGAAGAATTAAATTCTTTCCCCCTTTCTATTTTCGTACATTGTACAAATGTGGTGTGTGTGTGGGGCTTTGTCTCCCACTACACTTCATGATAAGGGATGTACTTTTGGAGTTTTGCTTTTGAAAATGTTTTACATTATTCCCTTTTAAAATATAATATACTCTTTCTCCTTTAAGAAAGCAATTCGGCCAAGAGAAGAGATGCAGTAGCATAATATTTGAGTTCCAAAAGTTATTGTTTTGGGTATAGAAAATTGTTATAATATTTTCTTCAAAATATTATTGATATATTTTCTACTATTTAATATACAAGATTTATATTATCCTTAAAATAATCTTTATATTAAATATACTATTATAATCTTTACTAGCATAAAGATTATAGTAGACTCCGGAGATTGTTCGTGTGTCAAAGTTGGAGGCCGGACGCTTGAACGGCTACGTTTGCTCCTTCAACACTTTTTGCTCGACTACACGTTCATACCGCTTTACCGGAGAAGGTATAACTTTCTATCTCTAGCTATAGTTTTAGTACGTGTTCTTGGGCTAGTAATCACTATTGGGAGATTAAATTTTTGTATTTCCTCTACCCTCTCAACCGTGGTTACCTTTCAGTGGTATCGGAGCCAACGTCCAAAACTATAGTTATTCGCAGAACTTTTTGGTTGGAAATTATTTTTAACTTGGTAATTATTTGTCAATCTCGAAAATTAGTAAAACGATTTATTTTAGTCTTGGAATAAATACTGGACTTAAATAAATCATTAAAATAAATATTCATTATTTATTTGTTCCGATAATATATTTTTTATAAATATATTCGGGAATTTTGAGTATATATATTAATATATATTTCGAAATTGTGAATATAATTTTATTGGACATAAAATGTCATTTTATGGTTAATAAAAGTATATTGTAATTTTCTAAATTGTTTATTTCCAATTTTTGAGTTAATTGTATTTGTTTAGATTTAATTCCAATAAATCTTAAATAAATATTGGAAACTCAAAAATGAACTTTATAAAACTTGGAAATATTATTTCTAGGTGAAATAAAGTTGTTCATAAATATATTGGACAAAATAATATTAGTTAGTAATTAATTATATATATATTTCGGTATATATATATTACCTATATATATATATATAAATTGAAAATGGCTAATATCATTTTGGAAAATTATATCTCAGTAAAAAGGTAATTTTATTTTTATAAATATTAAATATTATAATTTAATGATTTTTGAAAAATGATTTAAAATTATTTTTGCAATTATTGAGATATAATTAATATATTTGGGAAATAAATATTTATAAATTCTGGAAATTTTTTTTCCAGATTTATAAATGCATTAAATAGTTGCTGGAAGTTGGAAATTAATTTTCATGATTTTTTCAAATTTATTTCAAATTTAAAATGAATTTTGGAATAAACATTGCACTAGGGGCATTTTCGTAATTCTGTTGTTCCTGGAAATTTATTTTCCAGTTTTGCCCCTGCCCGAAAGTCTCCTAATGTATTTAGGATGACTTGGTAAAATTTCATAATTTTTGGACCACTTTATGAATTTTATGAATTTTAGAAAATATTACCAACGTAGTATTTTTCTAGAATTATCTGGGGCGAGCGCGGTTCGTCCGGTGTATGTATATCTCTATTGCCTGTGTGGATGTATGATATGCATGGTGGATGATTGTGGCTATAGTTTATTTGATTATAATACGGCCTGCGTGTCGTGCATTATCTCTTAAACTCTCGATGTAAATCTATTTCTCTCTCTTACCTCAACCGAGGATTCTTTTCTCACGTGGTGGTTAGAAGATAAAAGATTTGAAGTCCGTTCGAGGGAATCTAAAGGAATGGAGATAGCCCGAAGTCCAAGAGCCTGGAAGTCAGTGGGAGCTATCGTTTTATTTTTCCTTTAGGGGCCACAATCATTACACGTTTATTCTGAAAGTCTCACCGTGGAAGAAAGTGTTACCGTTCGGTAGAAAGGGAAAACTAAGTCCGAGATATATTGGACCCTATCGAATCACTGAACGTGTGGGTCCAATAGCCTATCGGTTAGAACTTCCACCAGAAATGAACAAGATCCATGACGTATTCCATGTATCGATGTTGAAAAGATACCGTTCTGATCCATCGCATATCTTGACTGAGGGAATTGTAGCTCTTGACAAACAATTGACTTATGAGAAGGAACCTGTACAAATTTTAGCACGAGAGGTTAAACAATTGAGAAACAAATCTGTACCCTTAGTCAAAGTGCTATGGAGGAATCACTCGACTGAAGAGGCAACATGGGAAACCGAAGAGTCAATGAGGATGCAATATCTGAATCTCTTCAACCAATGACTCAGGTAATTTCGAGGACAAAATTATTTTAAGGAGGAGAGAAATGTAACGCCCCGAAAATAGGCCTAACAGAATTAATTAATTGATAATTAATTAATTACTGAGAAGGACCCAAAAATAAGTAAATTCTAAAGTTTGTCAATAAATAATGAAAATTATATCATTATGTAGAGTATGACTGTATGACCCCAACGGTTCAATCGGATTTCAATTTGGAGAAAGTTGGAACAAAAAGTGTACCCCGACTGGGACCAAAATTAGTCCCAATCAAGGACTACACACCAAACGGCGCCCTGTTCAATTACGCCGATTCCAAATTCGTCGCTCAATCACGGAAGCTGCAAACCTGTGTCTTCTTCTTCTTCCATGGGCTATTTAAGGACAACCCAACTCCCTCATTTTATCACCAAAACAACTCATTCTTCCTTCTATATTGTTCGTTGCTGAGAGTAGAGTGCAGTGGCGCTGTCATCTTTGTGTGAGGTCGCCGGAGCAGTGAGATAGAGTCGCCGGAAGTTTCACCGGAAAATCTTCAAAACCTCCCTTACGCTTCAAGGTAAGCCCGTAGATATATCTAATGACTAGAATGTTCATATAGGTCGTTTCTACGTTCATAAATGGTCATTTGGTTGAGTTTTGTGTTTGACATGCATGTTTGAAAAACCAAGAATCATAAACCTTGAATTTGATGTTAAAAATATGTTTTAATAATTCTAATATGATCTATGAACCTTGGAGAACATTTCTACAGAGTTTAATTGAAGTTCGGTGACTAAAAATGGTTTTTCCCGAAAAATGGACCGATCCTCCGAAACTCTTGTTGGATCGATCCTCCGAAAGTTGAAGTTCGGTGACTAAAATTCTAGTTGGATCGATCCAGATCGATCCAGAGGGCTAGATCGGTCCTCCGAAACTCTGGTCCGAAAATTTGTCTGAAATTGCTATTTTTGAGCTCTAAAATCCTATTTTTGATACCAATTGATTATGATTATTATAAAAATGATTTTTCACAACAAAAATGATGTTTTTTTACAAATTAAAACATTATGTGATGCATGACGGTAAGCTCGGGTATTAACACTCGAGACTAGGCCACTAATTGTTATTAAATGTTATGTTGAATGATCATTATGATGAACTATTATTGTGGCCAATTATGAATGATTAACCCACTGATTAGTATGATTATTGATTAAATCATGATTAAAAATGGATATAATGATGATTATGAAAATGATGTATATTGTTAAGGATTTCTAGAAGAACTCTAAGATATACCACCCACTTGTATAATGATGATGATTATTAAGGATATCTACAAGAACTCTAAGATATACCTCCTTGACCAATTCATATTTCAGGGTTAAAACGTACGTACGGGATCCAGAACGGATATCACCCACCCGACAGTTCACTGTTCGGTTGGTACGTAATCCACATGACTCATAGGGTGGATTATCGATTCTTGTGTTCTGCATTAAACTATTTATAGTTTAAGGGCCTGGTTAGAAATGTTGTCTTAGACTAGGAATAGTTAAGAGTTGTTATAAAATGATTTGGCCTTAGATTAAGAATAATTTGAGAGCATTGTTGAGATATTGAATATCAAATGACTTGGAATAAAACATTGAGAATATCATGAATGTTTGAATTATATATTGTTTGCATGATATCAAATGGTTGATTATCAATAAAGATTCAATTTATGTGGATGTTTGACGCTTTAGATATGCTTACTCAGCTTCACCGCTAAGCGTGTAGTGTGTTTTATTTGCTACATGCAAGTAGGCAGAATGAATGATTGGCTGATTCCTGGCAGCAGAAGGGGCGAGACAGTCGTGGCAGATTATTGAATGAAATAAATAATTATGTTGTTATGAGACATAACAACAGTCGCTTCCGCATTTTATTTAAACACTCCGTATTTCTCTACAATTATGTATGGAATATTATTTATAAATAAAAATGTTTGAAATGTTTTAAATTATCACAATTACCAAAGCAATACTTTAGTCCGAAAGGGGCTGCAGTCCTGGACGGATTAGGGTGTTACAGTTGTGGCGTGTGAGCTGGTGCTGGGAGTTACATCTCCCAATTTTGTTCCATTGTGTAAAATCTTACCTAAACGGTACGCGGTATTTTCCCCGAACGGGCCCAAACTGAGATCCGTTTGCGTTTTTGGAATCAGACAGTCAAAACGAATATTATGACGTGATCAAATAATTTTTATGAGGATTTTATTTTTCCCCGACTCCGATCCGAGTTTGTAATTAATTAAGTAAATTAATCAATTCTAATAGACCGGGTCATAGGGCGTGACACAAGGAGTGTTGAATATATATACGGAGAGGGGAGAGAACCGTGTGAATTCAAAAAATATGGCTGTTGGGCATTAAACTCGGTGCCCAACGGCCATAATTTTTTGAATTGTACCAGCCTTACCAGCGATGGTAGGATTTACCCATCGATGGGAAGGTCGCCACTAGAAAGCGAGGAAGAGCCCAAGGCTGCCTTCCCAGCGATGTATGAATTCTCCCATCGATGGGAAGGTGGCTTCTGGAAAGTGAAGAAGTGATGAAATAGGCCTTCCCAGCAATGTTAATACCATCCCATTGCTGGGTTGGTGGTTTTGGAAATCCGTTAAAAATTTTAAAAAATAGTGTCAAACACCCAGCAATGGGAAGAAGTTCTCATCTATGGGTGGGGAGGTTCTGGAAAAAATTCTTTAAAATGAATGTCATGCACCCAGCGATGGGAGAGAGTTCCCATCAATGGGTGAAGAGGTTCTGGAAATCCGTTAAGTATTTTAAAAAAAGAGTCAATCACCCAGCGATGGGAGGATTTTCCCATCAATGGGAAGAGGAGTTCTGGAAAGAAGAGACTTCTCTCCCAGCAATGGTATGAACCCACCCATCGTTGGTTCCCCTTGACTTCTAGATTTCTTCACTTCGAAATGTCCCTGCAAAAAAGAGTTAGAAAACCCTCTGACGCTCAAGTTAGTAAATGTTCAAACAAAGATAAAGGAGTAATAAAATGCACAAATTAGATCATCGTGGAGTCAAGGATTCCGTGTTCACTACGAATGCGGAAGAACGTCTCTTTCTGTAAAGGTTTTTTGAAAATGTTGGCTAATTTGTTGTGTGTTTCAACAAACTCAATTTCGACATCACCTTTGAGAACATGATCTCTAATGAAATGATGCCTAATGTCAATATGTTTTGTCCTTGAGTGAAGAATTGGGTTCTTCGTCAAGCTTATGGCACTAGTATTATCACAACGGAGTGGAACATGATTGATACTAAGGCCATAGTCCACGAGTTGTTGCTTCATCCAAAGGATTTGAGCACAACAACTACCGGCGGCAACGTATTCTGCTTCGATTGTGGATAATGCAACACTGACTTGTTTCTTACTGAACCATGAGACTAGAGAACTACCAAGTAAGTGGCAAGTCCCACTCGTACTTTTGCGGTCCAACTTGCAACCAGAAAAGTCCGAGTCGGAGTAACCAACGAGATGAGAAGAAGAGCCTTTTGGATACCACAGTCCAACATTAACCGTGCCAACAAGGTATTTCATGATCCGTTTCACCGCCATTAAGTGTGATTCCTTCGGACAAGATTGATACCCTGCGCAAAGGCATACGCTAAACATGATATCCGGCCTACTAGCGGTAAGATAGAGAAGGGATCCGATCATACCTCGATACCTTTTGACTTCTACTTCCTTACCTTTTTCGTGTTTGTCAAGATGGTCGGACATGCTCATCGGGGTAGCCATGGCTTTGGCATTGTCCATTTTGAACCGTTTTAGGAGTTCTTTGAAAATACTTGGTTTGGCAAATGAATGTGCCATCTCTCATTTGCTTCACTTGAAGACCCAAAAAGAACGTGAGCTCGCCCATCATTGACATTTCGAACTCGCTTGTTATTAACTTGGGAAATTCCGTGCACAAAGACTCGTTAGTAGCACCGAAGATAATATCGTCAACATAAACTTGAACCAAAAGGATGTTGTTGTATTTACTCTTGATAAAAAGTGTAGTGTCGACCTTTCCCCTTTGGAAACCACTGTCCAAAAGAAATTTACTCAAACATTCGTACCAAGCACGAGGTGCTTGTTTAAGACCGTAGAGTGCTTTCTTGAGTTTGAAGACATGGTCGGGATACTCAAAGTCTTCAAACCCTGGAGGCTGGTCAACATACACTTCCTCTTGAACAAAACCATTAAGGAAGGCACTCTTAACATCCATTTGATAAAGTTTAAAATCCATAGACGAGGCAAAAGCAAGAAGTAAACGAATAGCTTCTAAACAATGCTACGGGTGCATAAGTTTCTTCAAAATCAATGCCTTCTTCTTTATTGTAGCCTTTAGCTATGAGCCTAGCTTTGTTTCTAGTGATTATTCCATTTTCATCAAGTTTGTTATGAAACACCCATTTCGTACCAATAATCGTACGATCATCGGGCCTTGGCACCAATTCCCAAACGTCATTCTGTTTGAATTGGTTTAGCTCCTCTTGCATAGCCAAGGTCCAATGTTCATTGTTTATTGCTTCGGAAATGGTTGTAGGTTCAATTAAAGAAACAAAAGTCATGGGGCCTACGGTGTCCCTAAGTGAGTTTCGAGTACTTACCCCGCGGTTGATGCTACCGATTACCTAGTCAAGCGGATGGTTCTTGTTTGTTCTCCATGCGATGGGAAGCTCGGTTTCTTCATCTTCTTGTTCCTTGGTTTCCTCTTGTTCTTCTTGGTTTTCTTCACCTTGGTTAGTCACTTGAGGCATCTCCCTAATTTGTGGTTGCGTGTTAGTGTATATTTCCGTGTTCTCTTCATCGTCTTCGACGTGTATTCTTTCTAGCGAATCTGCAAGATCATCACAAATATCCTTTCTCACTAAGCGAGGGTTATCTTCGGAAAATACAACGTGAGGGGACTCCTCAATAGTCAAGGTATGTTTATTAAAGACTCTATAGGCCTTGCTACGTAATGAGTAAGCCAGAAAAATTCCTTCGTCCGACTTGGCATCAAATTTGCCTAAGTTATCTTTGCCATTGTTATGGATAAAACATTTGCAACCAAAGACTCGAAGATGGGAAGGTTTGGCTTTCTCCCTTTGTATAGTTCATAAGGCGTTTTCATGAGTATCGGTCGAATGATGGCTCGGTTTAATACGTAGCTCGCGGTACTCACGGCATCCGCCCAAAAATACTTTGGGATTTTTGCCTCATTGATCATAGTTCTAGCCATCTCTTCGAGACATCTATTTTTACGTTCCACCACTCCATTTTGTTGTGGTGTATGTGGGGATGAGAAATTATGATCAATGTCGAGTTCGTCACACAAATCTGAAAATAGATTTCGTTCGAACTCTCCCCCATGGTCGCTTCTTATGGCTACTATGGTTGTTTCTTTTTCATTTTGAACTTTCTTTAGAAAATTTTTGAAAACATGAAATGCCTCACTTTTATGAGTAAGAAACAAGGTCCATGTAAACCTAGAGTAGTCATCGATAATCACAGACGCAAAGTAATTACCACCGAAACTTTTCGTTCTAGAAGGACCAAAGAGATCCATAAGCAAAAGTTGAAGCGGTCTAGACATTGAAACAACGTTCTTAGACTTAAACGAAGCCCGAACTTGCTTCCCCTTTTGACATGCACCACATTTGGTGTCCTTTTCTGTAACACCTTAATCCGTCCAGGTGTGCAGCCCTTTTCGGACTAAAGTATTAACTTGGAAATCGTAAAATTTAAAACATTTTAAATACTTTTATTCATCATAAATATTATTAAATACATAACTGTAGAAAAATATGGAGTGTTTAATAATAGTGCGGAACAATTTCCACCACAATAGTCTCGCCCCTTCCGCTGCCAGGATCATGCCAATCACTCATTCTGCCTACCTGCGTGTAGCAAATAAAACACACTACACGCTCAGCGGTAAAGCTGAGTATGCATATCTAAAACGTCGAACATCCACATAAATTGAATCTCAATTCACAAACAATCATTTGACATCATGCACACATTATATAAGTCATTTATGATATTCTCAATATTTTTATTTCAATATTTCAATAATCCACAATATCCTTAAACTATGCTTAGTCTAAGGCTAATCTTTGTGATATTTACCAACTCTTAAACTTCATTCTAGTTTAAGGTACTTCTAACCAACTCTTAAGCTAGGTCCTTAGTTTAAGGTGCATATTTTCCGATTAATTTATCAACTCTTAAACTAGCCTTTGCTTAAGGTACAAGTCTAGAAAACCGAACAGCAGATACTAACTGTCGGGTTGGGTGGTATCCCCAAATGAGTTCCTCGAGTTTGGTTTATGGATCCCGTACGTACATTTTTACCCAAGGCCACCGAATATACATATTTACACTCGCAAGGCCTAATCTAATTTGAGGTCTATCTTAGAGGTCTTTGAGATAGCCTTAACAATACACCGATTTCATGATCATCATTATATTCATTTTCAATCATGATTTAATCATTAATATTCATCCTAATCAGTAGGTTTATCATTCATAATCATCCATAATAATTATCCATCATAATGATCATTAAATATAACCTTTAATAACAGTTAGCGGTCTAGTCTCGAGTGTTAACACCCAAACTTACCGTCATGCATCACATAATGTTTTAATTTGTTAAAAACATCATTTTTATTGTGAAAAATCAATTTTATAAAAATCATAATCAATTGGTATCAAAAATAGGATTTTGGAGCTCAAAAATAGCAATTTCAGACAAATTTTCGGATCAGAGTTTCGGAGGATCGATCCAGACTGTAAAAGATTTGCCCAGGTGATCGATCCAACTGATATGATCGATCCACCCTGCAAGTTTTCAGCTCATGTTCATCTTCTTCAACGTTTGTGTAGGACCTCAGGCGCTACCAACTCTTCTAAAACCAATTGGTGTTAGAAGAGGCGCATACCCTAGCCTTATAGTGCATTCACCACACAAGCGCCCACGACATTCGATTGTGACTTGGCCCACATAGCCTCTACCACGGGACAATTGTTGCACACATGGCCAATAATCTCCCCCTCAGCAATTGCTCCCGCTAGGAATCGAACTCGTGACCTTGGCTCTGATACCACTTGTAGGACCTCAGGCGCTACCAACTCTTCTAAAACCAATTGGTGTTAGAAGAGGCGCATACCCTAGCCTTATAGTGCATTCACCACACAAGCGCCCACGACATTCGATTGTGACTTGGCCCACATAGCCTCTACCACGGGACAATTGTTGCACACATGGCCAACAGTTTGGTCCATTTTTTGGAAATACCATTTTTCGTCACCGAACTTTAATTAAACTATATAGAAATGTTCTCCAAGGTTCATAGATCATTTTGGGATCATTAATTCATAGTTTTAAAATCAATTTCATGGGTTATGATTCTTGGTTCTTCAAGCATGTCAAACACAAAACTCACCCAAATGAACATTTATGAACGTAGAAACGACCTATATGAATATTCTAGTCATTAGATATATCTACGAGCTTACCTCGAAGTGTAATGGAGTTTTTGAAAATTTTCCGGCGAAACTTCCAGCGACTCTATCTCACTACTCCGGCAACCTCACACAAATATGACAGCACCACTGCACTCTACTCTCAGCAAGGAACAATATGGAAGGAAGAATGAATTGTTTTGGTGAGGAAATGAAGGAGTTGGTTCTCCTTAAATAGCCAATTGTTGAAGGAAGAAGACATAGGTTTTGTAGCTTCCTTGATTGCATGGTGATTCGGATTTTGGAATCGGCGTAATTGAACAGGGCGTCGTTTGGTACGTAGTCCCTGATTGGGACTAATATTTGGTCCCAGTCAGGGTACACTTTTTGGTCCAACTTTCTCTAAATTGAAATCCGATTGAGCCATTGGGGTCAGACAGTCAAACTCTACATAATGATATAATTTTCATTATTTATTGACAAACTTTATAAATCACTTATTTTTGGGTCCTTCTCAGTAATTAATTTAATTATCAATTAATTAATTCTGATAGGCCTAATTTCGGGGCGTTACATTTTCAAACTTAAATTTTGGAATGCCAATTACTAAGTCTTGTGAAACCAATTTGTTCAAAAGGTTCATGTTCATATGAGCTACCCTTCGGTGCCATAACCAAGTGTCTTCCTCTTTACTCATGAGGCACTTAACAAAGTCGGAAGGAGATTTGTCTAAGTTAACCATATATATGTTATCGATTCTATCACCACGTAGAATGACCTTATTGTCACTAATGCGTTCTACCGTGCATGATTTTGAATCGAAGATCACACGGTTTCCCTTGTCACATAATTGACTTATGCTCAAGAGATTGTGTTTAAGACCCTTAACAAGCAAGACATTATCTATAGAGGAGTCTTCGGACTTACCTACCGAACCGATGCCAATAATATTTTCCTTACTATTTGTCTCCAAAGACCACGTTTCCTCCTTTAGTGGGTTTGATTTGTAGGAACTGGGATGCATCTCCGGTCATGTGCTTGGAGCATCTGCTATCAATGTACCAAAGTACACTTGACGCCTTCAAGCACACCTACAAAAATGATTTAATAAGATTTAGGTACCCAAGTCTTTTTGGGTCCTTGAGTGTTAGGTGCAAAGTGGTAGTGTGATTCGTTTTGTGTCCAATGCCTATGTCTAGTAAAGCAAACGGGAGCTATATGTCCTACCCTATTGTAATAATGGCAAACTATGTTTGGGTTGTGCATCCTCCTAGGTTGATAATAGTTGCTAGGGGGCCTAACCATATCCATCATATTTTGAGATAAGATTGGCTTTTGAAAATTCTCTCTTCTAGGTGTCCTAGCATTATTTTGTCTAGTTGAAAATTTATTTTTATGCACAAACTCATTTTGATAATTTTTCCTAGGTTGTCTAACATGCACATTTTCATTCTTAGGTTTTTGTCTAGGTTGTCTAGTGTCCTTAGGTTGACTAGATTTTCTATTATCCTGATTTTTAACTTTTCTTACGTTGAGCCTTAGAAGGTTGTCTAGGTGTTTGCTCAAAGTTCTTATCCTTAGCTTTGTTTCTATTAAAACCTAACCCTTCCTTAGAAAAGTGCATAGTATCAAGAAGTAAGTTAAGATCTTTGTGTGGAGTATTGAATTTCTTGACCGTACTCTCAAGTTTTGTGACTTTGTCTTTTAAAGCTTTGCAAGATTCACATTCATTTGTAAAGCTTTCCGGTTTGTCAGCGCTTTTTTTCCATAAAATTTATTTTCTTGTTTTAATTTTTCATTATCTTTTTTCAGTTTTTCAAAATCATTTTCAAGAGATGAAAGACATTTCTTTAATGATTTGTTGATTTTTGAAGCGCTAACAAATTCATCGTAAAGCTCACGAAGTGTTTCTTGCATCTCTTCAAAAGTGTAAGAATCGGAAGAAATGGTACATACATCTTGTACATCGTCGCTTCGGTCTTCGTGTGCCATGAGACAGAGGTTGGCGGCTTCATCCTCTTCTTGGTCGGTTGACTCGTCGCCGGAGTCGCCACCCCACGAGATATACACTCTTTGTTTTTGAAGTCAGGTTTGTCCTTGCCGTTTTTGCCTCTTGGACACCTCGGCTTGATGTGACCTATCTCGCCATAGCCATAACACTTTGGGGGACCGTTGTGCTTTCTTCCTTTGCGCTCAAATTCCTTCTTCATGAATTTGTGGAATTTCTTGATGACGAGTCCAAACTCGTTGTCATCGTCGCTTGAGACTTCTTCCACCGTCTCTTTGGTTGTTTTGAGCGATATTCCTTCCTTCTTTTGTTCATCCAAAGACGGGGTTAGAATAGTGGATTCAAAAGTTTTGAGATTACCTCTTAACCCGTCGATGGTGACGTTGGAGACTCCGATGGATTCGTAGATTGCGTCGGCCTTTGACCTCCATTCGGGTGTGAGACTCCGCGGGATTTTTCTTACTAGATCCTTGTTGGCGTAAGTCTTCTTGAGTGCATGAAGGTCATTGATGATCTTCGAGAACCGTTCGAACATATCATCGATCTTCTCGCCTTCCTTCATTCTGAACATCTCGTACTCTTGCGTGAGGAAGTCAATTTTGGCTTCCTGAACTTGGTCCGTACCATCGTATGTGACCTCCAGCTTGTCCCACATCTCTTTGGTGGTTGTGCAGCAAGAGATCTTGCGATAGTCGTCGGGGTTGACCGGGCAGTAGAGCATATTGATCGCCTTAGCATAGTTCTCCACCTTTTTGATGTCTTCGGCATCAAATTCGTCCTCGGTCTTTGGGACGAGTTTTTCACCAACCTTCTTCATTGGCGTTTCTTCGCCGTTCTTGATGACCAACCACAATTGGAAGTTGGTTGAGCGGATATAGATTCTCATCCGCTCTTTCCAATATGTGTAGTTAGTGCCATCAAAGAGCGGTGGCCTAGAGGTTGATTGACCTTCTCCCATCCCTGCATAAATATTTCTAGAAGAAGAACCCATTTTCGCTTTTCTCTCAAACGGTTAATTTTGGACGCGAGTTAGTCTCTGATACCAATTGTTAGAATAAAAGACCAACGGTAGAGGGGGGGTGAATAACGTTTGATCGTAGAAATTGCAGGAATTAAAAATTTAAAGGAGAAAATTGCAAGAACATTTCAAAGTCAAGAGGGAATCAGGAAGTCAGGGGGAACCAGTGATGGGTTGTTTATCCCATCGCTCGGAAGGAAGTATTTTCTAATCAGCAGCCCTCTTCTCATCGATGGGAACTTCTTCCCATCGCTGGGTGTTCGACACTTGTTTTTTAAAATTTTTAACGGATTTCTAGTAGTTGTCTTCCCATTGATGGGAGAACCTTACCATCGGTGGGAAGCCTGTATAAGATATATATTAGGCATATTAATTAGAATTGGATCTTTCCATATTTTAATATAAAAGTGCCAAGTCACTAAAGTCATTAAAGGGCGGATGACTCATAAAAAACTTGTCAAGTAAACCCACCACATGTCGAGATTCTGTGAACGTGAGTCTCAAATATTAAAGAAAACCCTCTAAATAGGAGTAAAACATATGTCATATCCTCAAAATAGGAGCTCAAACTTAAAATCCTCCAAACAGGAGTAATTAATTAATTAATAAAGAAAACCCCATAAATAATATTAAATCTCTAATTAATCTCATCTCTCTGCTCCCTCTCCTCACGACCACCCTACCATGCCTCTCTCTTCCCTCTCTCTTATTTTTGGCCACCATTTCACCATTTTGAAGCGTTGCCTTCACCAAATCCACCCCAAGTGCAGTACATCACCGCCGCCCCTCCTTGCAGTGCCGCCGCACCAGCTTCCCACTTTGTAGATGTGTCACGAAGCATCCCCTGTAGATCCGCCTCTATCTCTCCCCCCTTGCAGATCTATCGCACCCACCTATATTCATCAAAGCTGAGATTGCTGTCAGTCGCGATGACTATGATTTTGATTTTTAATTAGCTTCTAAATGCTCTATAATTGAGACTGCATCATAGAAGTAAGAAATACTTCCAACTAATTACATTCATCTTTTTTTTTCTCCGAAAAATTACATCTTCATTAGGAATTAATTTTTGTTTGGTTTTTCTTTTCATTTTTGTATTTGATTGTTTTTCTTTTAATTTTTTTGTTTGATTGTTTTTCTATTAGTTGTGTTTGAATTTTTGCTCCTTATTTCACCAAAGTTTGGTGATAGTGATAAGAAGCTTGACATTGTATGTTGACAATCTTGACATTTCACTTTTTTTGACATTTTATATTGACATATTTGGCATTACGCAATAACATGTTTGACATTATGCAATGACATGTTTGTTAGTATGCATTATCATCTTTGACATTGTGGCTTTTGTTGGTATTGTATTGAAATCTTTTTCCCTTGGCAGTGAAACCATGGCACTAAGATGGCGATAATAGCAGTTTTGATCCAACATTGGCAGTAATTTGCGACATTGACAACAGCAAATGGGGGTAATGGAGGCGGCATCCGTAATAAAAGGGGATGAGAGAGGCAGATCGTGGTGGCGATGACGACAATAGTGCCGACCGTGGCGGTGTTAGTGGCAACAACAATGTAGATGGTGGCCACATTTAATAACTATGGCTGCAGGAGATTGTGGCGATGAAGTGGTGGTGACGACAGTAGAGGCGATGGTGGCAGGGGTGGCAATAGTGACATGTACGGCATGGGCTGTAGGTATTTTAAGATTTTTTAATTTATAAAATGTATTTAATTTCATATTTGTAATATGAATATAACTTCTATTTTAGTACATGATCAATGTTTTACTTCTATTTTGCTCCTTAACTTTAAACCATTAGATTAATTAAGTTAATGGTAATTTACCCAAATAAGACTAAAACATAATGACTATCTCAATATATGACTATATGTTTTTATTTCCCAATATAGGATCATTGGTCATTATTTATTAGTCATTATTCAACTAAATGTTCAACATCACTTGGACATTATTCTTCTCACTAGTCATTATTAAGTCCTATTTAGGGAATGAAAAAATTTAAGTCTTACATTATGACTTATGTTTTAATCCTATTCAGTGCAAATTTCAAAGTTAATTACTCTATTTTGATCTATTTTGAAGATGTCTTTTACTAATACCATTACCTACCTCTATCCGTTCACGGTTACCTTAGAGAAAGAGAGGCGCAGAGCCAAAGATAGATGATTGATGGCTACTCTCGTCCCCAAATCCTTCACTCGGCTCCGTGATACCTTCAACACCACCGCATCGAAGTCCGACGGCTGCCCCGAACACAATTTCTTCAAGCTCTGTTGCTTGGAGGCTCAGTCATTCATAGTGAAGAGGGCTTCGTTTCCCAGAATAGTCTGCAAAGCCGTGTCCGTGAAGCAGCCCTTACGGCCAGCTACTGAAATTGAAGGCCTCAATATCGCCGAGGATGTTACTCAGGTCAGTGCATCACTGACTCACTCAAAGTAGAATTTCTTCTTTTTTAAATTTACAATAAAATGGTAATTGTTATCTGTCTATATTATTTCTTCGTTGAAGCTCAAACATTGGAAAACTATTATATATCATCTTTCTGAATTTAATTTGAAATGTTTTTCTGCACAACTCATCCTTTTACTTTTTCTTTCCCTGGTTTCTACTCGACCATTATGTAGGTTGCTCTTGCTTTGCTCACATCATCACATGTAGCTAAAGTTCGAGCCTTTATGAGCCTGCGTTTGATAAGTCTAAGATATTTTGACGTGTTTACTATTGTTTTCCCACTAAGCAAAGTACGATTGTGTATAATGCTGAGATAGCATCTTTCTTTAAACAAGTTGTTTCTGTAAATAATATTTCTTGGATGTAGTACGTTCCCAAGGCCTTACTTTTGTTTCCATTACCTGGTGTCTAACAAATAGATTCTTCAAATCATTCTTTCCATTAAATTGCTTTTATTTCCTGTCAGGTTTTCTCATATTTTGATTGTGCTATATATATATATATATATATAAACATATATGTATGTGATAGGGTAGTGTCTTGTGTGCATTTTGGCTTGTGGAACATAGGGTTTAGTAAGTTGATTGAGCTGGTGCAAGTTCTCAATAGGAGAATGATTTAGGTAGCGTATGTGCAGGAGACTAGATGGGTGGGCGGGCACCAAGTTGCGAGAGGTCGACGTGTTCAGGTATCCCGGCAGTTCTAAGAGCATGAATGAAGTTGGTGTTTTGGTGGTGCCAAAGCTGCATTAATATGTGCTAGAGGTGAAGAGGATTAGTGACTAGTTGATGGCTAATTGGCTATCAAGTTAATCTTTAGTGATTGTGCTATAAATGTCGTGAGTGCCTATGTCCCTCATGTTGGCTTGGACAACAAAGTTAAGAGGGAGTTTTGGGAGTCGTTGGATGGGTGGTAGGTGCTATCCCGCAGGTTGAGAAAGTTGTCACTGGAGGCAACTTCAATGGCCACATTGGTGACTCGGACGAGGGCTTTGAGGAGGCACATAGAGGGTTTGGCTTTGGCTATAGGGTTGAGATGGAGGTTCACTCTTAGAGCTTGCTAGAGCGTGTGATTTGGTGGCTGCTACTCCTTGTTCCCTAAATAGGAAGATCACTTGGTTACTTTTGGTAGTAGAATGGGGAGGATGCAGATCAACTACATTGTTCTGTGTAGTTCAAGAGAAATATGTTATTGTGTCTTTCAGGGAGGCCACTAACATGTGGGCTCTGACGGCTAACTGCATCACGGAAGTTGCTAGAGAGGTGCTGGGTTTGAGTTGCAGTTCTGGAAGTTGGCATAGAGATGACTGGTGGTGGAGTGTTGTGGTTCAAAGAAAGGTGAAAGCTAAGAAGGTGGCATTTATGAGGTACATGAACTGCAGTAATGAGGAGGATAAGGCGGCTCTTCTAGTGGATAATAAGATTGTCCGTAAGGAATTTAAGTTAGAGGTTACGAGGACAAAGAATATAACTTTTGAACGCATTTATAAGGACATAGAGGAGTAGGGTGGTGATTAGAGGTTTTTTCAGCTAGTTATTAGCTAAAGCACGTGAGAGGAAGGCTCGGGATCAGGATCATTTGAGATGCACAAAGAGCAACGATGGTAGCGTGTTGTTTGAGACAGTAGAGGTGGCCAACCTTTGGGAGGGGGGGGGGGTACATCTGTTATATCTGGGCTCGACCCTATCATACCCTCCCCCATGTCCCACACCCTCATGGAATCCAAAGGACTTAGGTTCAAACATTATGATCCATTTTAGTGAAAATTCAAAGTCCTTTAACCCGAAAGGCCAAAATAACTTTCGTTTTTTACCTTAGGGTTTCACTGGCCAACCCCCATTCTGTCCAACCCAACCCCAAACATCCAAAAGTATTTTATTTCCTTTTGATATCCAAAATAAAGTCTCTTGCATCTATTTTAACCCCTGGTCAAAATAGGAAACCAAAACAGCCCCATTCATCTTCCAACATCCACCCAACATGGTCCCTACTATGTTCCCTAGTACAACCCACTAAACAACCATAAAAGTCCGAAACATGGTACTTTCTTAACCCTTTAACCACCAAATAAATCCTCATATATGCAGCCAAAGTACCACACATTATCCTTTACCTTTGTCCCCCTAGTTGGCTGAATACATCCCCCCCAAATCAGCCCAAATGAATGACATCCATTCCCCTTGGTTTGCCTTTCATTGGAGACCCTACAACCACACCCATCCCTGATTTTATTCTAATAAAAGGACCTAAAAATATGGCTGATATTTCAAGGCTTTGAGAGGATGTTGCTAGAAAGTTTCCTTATGTCTACATTCAATGTATTGTGTATTTCTTCCCCCTTCCCCTGCCTATATATAATGAGGCCATATGGCCATTGTAAGACATATTTTTTGAATATTAAAACCCCTTTTACTCTAAGTATTCTTAAAATAATGTGATGCTATTTTAGCCAAATTCCTAATCCTATATCTTAAGAGTGGTTATCTTAAGTGTGAGTTTTAGGTTCTAGATATTTGATTAAGTGTGTAGTATCTTAATTGAATTCTAGATTCAAACCCCAAGTTAAGATAAGAGTGTGTAATATCTCTTAACACCAACTTGGTTTTATCCATCCCTGATTTTTCTTCCATTTCATATCCCTGCATTTCTCCTTCTTAATCCTATTCTTTTCTTCCATAAAATACCAAAAAGAACTCCTAAAACACCCTCCATATTTTCACCCACTATTTCCCTTCCATTTTCCTCCGCAAATCCGCCACTAAATTATCAACTTGATAAGACCCCCGTTTCACCCCTAACAACATTCGTGGCCTCTTGAGTGCAGGAAGAGATTCGAGGCTAGAGCTAAGTGAGCTGA